GCTCGAAAGTTTTTGCAAACTGAGCAATGTTGTGACCTGGCCCGGCACGAAGCGTGGCTTTTATCGCTATTCCGTGCCTGCCACGTCTGACAAACGGTTGAGCCAAGGGTTGGAAAGCCGCCCGGTCTTATGAACCGATTGTCAGTGAGCGTCCGTGGCGCGTACTAGCTGAAAGATCCCCTTTGGGAAAACTCAGCCGTGCCCACATCGCAGACCTGAAGCCCTTTGTCACGGTCTGACGAGCTCGCGCCAGTGCCCTGCGGCACTTCGCGCAAGCAACGGGCACACCCGGAGCGACGGACCGCATTCGGACCCCGCGCCGGTATAATCTGAGGAAGCGGTCACCTTTGTGATTTCGCGCCGGACGGCGGACTTCTCCGCAACCGAAGGCCCTCAGTTTACTGTCTAGCCTCAGTATAGGTTAGCTTCTTTACGGCCTTTTCTCGTAAAGGAGTTGACCCCGCCCTGTCTGCTGCCAGTGTTTTTTTTTTTTGAAGTGTTCATGTGTATTTTATGTTTATTTTTGTCTAATATTAAGTGTTATTTGTGTTTATGTTTTTCGCCAGATGTTGAGTGTCGTTTTGCTCTGTTTTCACTTTTTTTTTCCGTGTTCGTTTCGTCTACCGCGAAGGGAGCTGTGTGTGACCTTGCGTGTCGGTGCTTGCCGGGAGAGGGAGAGAGACGAAGGACGCTTTGCGCCTACGCTCGCGCAGCCGTCGGCGGTGTGTGTGCGTGTGTAAGTGCGTGACGCTTCAGTGCGAGCCCGCGAAGAGTGCGTCATGGCTTCCCCCCATCGATGCGGACGCTGGAGGTGCGGGGGGTCATTGACCCACTGACGTCAGACCATCTGGCTGTGCTCTGCTCTCGGCTGTCGCCGAAGAAGCCGTGCTGCCTTTCCCACCATGGCTCCTGCGCGAGGCCAGCTGAAAGCAGCTATATGCTGCCGGCCAACGCCAGGGCGCCTTGCAGCCAATTTTGGTTCGGCCTCCCTGACCACCGGAGAGGCCCGGCTTCCCGCAACGTCCAGCTTCATCATCGAGCCAGAAATGCGGGGCCTCCGAAGCACAGCCGAGGCAGCGTTCGTCGGACTCGCTGCTTAACAAGACCAGGAACAAGCCATCAGTGAGCCCCCTCCCGTACCTCTGACCTCGCACTCGGGCATCGCACCCAGCGGACACTGTCACGCCCTTTTCCGCCCCTCCGCGCAGTGGACGCTATCCCCCTTCAGCACCACGAACACTAGTGCCACGTTGCTGTGCTCCCTTCCGCAGTTATTTGTATAGTGTCATGTGTTTATTTTGTTATTTATGTTTTTGTTCCTCATTTGTAATCTTTTTTTTATCAGCAGTAACAGGGCTGGACTGAGGTTAGCTGTAGCTCATAGCAGTGTCATTTCAACTGCATGGGTGACGTCCGGCTGCCTTTTGCAGACCGGTAAAGGGCAAATTTAGGAGGGGGGGATGTGGGAATTGAGGCTGGCCCGCTGCCTTTGCGCGGACTTTCCCGCCTTTTCTGCCATTCTCATGTCCCGACATGTCTGCCCTCCTTTGCCGTCAGCCGCGCTGGGAAGGGCGGAGTGACGTTTAACTCCCTCACCCGGTAGCGGATGTTGACTGTGGCGCCGCGCGCGGGGACCCCCGAGAGGTTTTCGCGCGCTGCGTCGGGAGCGGGGGGTACAGTCCGGGACTTCAAACGGTGAGCCAGGCATTCTTTTCCGTCCGTCGAGTCCCGTCGCTCGGGGCCCGTCGGGCTTCGCTGACGGCGCCTCGCGCCCGATGCGAACGCTCACCTTTTTGTTGCCCCGCTGCGTACTCACGGCCGAAGGGCAGTACGGTGTCCTAGTGCGTGGCCTAGCTACGCCGACCCGTCTCCCTTCGAAGCCAACGCGAGCGCCTTTGCCCTCGCTCGAGCAACCGGGCCCTTTGTCCCGGTGTCTCCGTGGATCACCTTTACCGCGGAGACGTGATCGTGGCACCCCTGTGTAGTACTTTGTGCCCGTGGCGTGGATAAGCCTACTTGCTTTCCCGCCGCGCCTTTTTTTTGCAACGGGCTGTACTGCGTTTGGTGTTGCCACAATAAAGTGTTGCGACTTGAGCAGTATCGTGTTTCCCGCCACGGCGACGGTTAACGCGTGCCCTGCGGCTCGCTAAGACCGGACCCACGCTGGTGGCCGTACTCCTTCGGGATACGTGTACACCACAAGGTATACCCAGGATTTTTTTTTTAGGGGGTGTAGTGGGCAGCAGAACGCCTAACTTTGGCAATTGGTGGTCAGTGTGAATGGGTGTAAATATTTTAGTATACCCTAAAGAGTTAAATTACGAAAAAATTTTGCAGTGTAGTGGGTGCAGGTTCCCTTCCTCTTCCCTCTCTACTAACGGCCTCCTGGTTCTGCGTGTGTTTGAAATGGCATTTTTTGTAATCACACATCTTTCTGAGCGCAGCTAACTTCCAATAAATCAGCTCAGTTATTTTGAATATTGTAGACGCCTAACCAACGAAGAAAGAGTTAAGAAAGGAGAAATCAGTATAAGACACACCATTTCTGAATTATTTTCGATCTCTCACAATGGCTTTTATAGAGCTCAAATTCAGTAGACGGGCGTGTCATACTTCAAGGGCTATGGCATCATGTGCTAGACATGAATGATGGGCAGGTGCGAAGAAATCTGCATCAAGAAATTGCGACGGAGGAGCCGAAGCGCATAGCAGTTCCTGCGCGCGGCTCTTTTAGTACTATTCGACTGCAGCGCCGCTGCTGCGGGCAACGCGGAAGGAATTAGGTGGCGAGGCGTGGTCACGCCACTCAACACTTCTAGTACACTCTAATTGTGGTTGAAGTGGTGGTGTAGGTATGGTGGCTAGAAGGAGAGGTGTCAGCATCGTCCCAACCGCGCCTTGAAAGGAGGCGTGTTGATATTTCTTTTCGCCATGAAACGGCGCGCAAGTCGCCACCATGATCGGTCGAGAGCGCTCGCCAGCCGTAGCGCGGCACTTTCAGTCGCTTGCTCGAGTGCTCGCGAGTCGCAACGTCTGCGCTTTGCCTATTTGGACTTGCTCTGGATCAATACGTGCCAATGTGACCATGCCACAATGATGGGTAAACAGCAACGACACTGCTTTGCACCTAAATGCAATGCGGGATGTTTCGGCCCACAAACAAGGGAAGAAAACGTCTCTTCTCTGCTCCCGCCGACGATGAACGGCGCAAGGTCTGGGAGCGTGCGATTCGTCGCGCTGTCAAACCACTGGAAAATAACTGCGTTGTGGGCGAAGGTCATTTCGACTATAGATTCATCACCCGTAGCTACAAGCATGTTATCAACGGGTTCTTAGCAACTTGGGAAAAAGCTGTACCTAAGAAGGGTGGGTTCCCGAGTTTAACATCTAGCAAAGGACTCCGCGTCACTCTAACCAGCACTCTTTCCATCCGGCACTATGTCATGAAAACATTGGGCTACAAATACTAGATTTATTGGCCAAGACGCGCTTAAAATCTTTTTTGGAATTCTGAAGAAAATGTCTGGCTCGAATGATCCCCCTTCGCCGACACAATTTTTTATCTCTGTGAATTGCCTCAGTTTTTACAGCTTGGCAGTCACCCTCCAGTGCAAACATACCTTCTGGAGTTCTGAGCAGCCTTTTATGTCCGAACATCCACAATAATTCAATAAAATTGCAGAATGAGTTGCTAGTTGTGGGGCGCCTCAATGAGGTTCATGAAATGATTGTTGCTTGTGAAGCCCTTCCTGACCACACTGATCTCACTAGAGGCAAAAGTGACTCCCGGGTCACGTATTACGTCAGTGGCTATGTGGCCCGGAAGACGGTGAAAAAGACGAAGTGCAACGAATGTAGCAGGCTGTTGCTTCACTCTGAGAATTCCAGCTTGCTTCCGGCAGAATCGTGCCTTTTTTACCAGTCCGAGTCCTTAAACGACCTGTTCAAAGCTACAGAAGATGCATTCACCTATTGCTTCAGTTTGAACAAGTTGAAAAGTGACAGCATAACAGACCTTGTCTCTTGCCTGTTTGTGAGGAGGTAAATATGGTCGTCTGTGAACACCACAAACTAAAAGCGACAAATCAGATAATCAGATTCTTTACACTGACCAGAATACTTTTTCTCGTTGCTGGAAAAAAATGCGTCCAATCAAAAAAAAAGAGAGAGAGAGAGAAAAATGAAGTTTCTTAAATTGAGACGTATGACTTAACTGTCATATGTTAACTCAGTGAACAAGGTTTTATTTCATGTTATCGTGCATTACTCACACTGTGCTGTTTCTTGTGATTTTACCATTGTCTAATTCTCATTGTTACGAATCTCCCATAAACAACTGTGATGTCACTGCCTGGCTGTGTCTTATATATGCAGAAATCGTTTCTTTTTTTTCGTGAACTGTGTTGTGACTGTATCTATGTTTGCCTATCAAATCTCAATGTCATGTGCGTATGTATGCCCTTTGTATCATCGTATATTTACTGTTATTCTTAGTTGCTTTATTCACTTGCTTTAGCTAAGTTTCGTATAAGTTGCAGTTCTCTCCAACCTTAATGTATATGTTGTTTATTTTTCATGTTGTTTTTCGCTTTCGTGAAAATAAATGTCTTGCTTGTAAAATTAGACCTTGACTGCGCAAGTCATAAAAATAATGGTTGCCGATACATTTACGTGCTATGAGACTTCACGGAGAACACTGAGGCATCAAAGTGAAAACTGCACGGACTTTGTCTTGGGTGTCAAGCTCACGGCAATCGAGTCACTTGATTCTCTATTTTCTAAGCTTCGTAGCTGATATACTACGAAGTGAATTGAAAACACTAGTTTTCAGTGCCAATACACGTTGCAGCGCGGCGCCGCCAGAATTGTGATAGGTAGACTTTGTTATAATCCACAGGGTAGCATGAAATATTTGCAACGAAAAAGGACTGATGCGCGGGCGCGAGGAGCGGCATCTCGAAAGCGACCGCAGCGCCGCCGCATCCGGATGAATTCTCGCTCGCTCTCCGGCGCGCCGATGCTGACACCTCTCCTCCTAGCCACCGTAGTATAGGTGTGCTGTGGTTCAAGTCTGTGGTAGGCATGGAAGAGGGAAAATAATGGTGGCAGGCATCTTTCTAGAAAAGGCGTTGATCAGGCAAACCGTGAGATCGCGCAAGATGGCAGGGTGTCGGAAAGCTCTCTGCTCTTTGTGGTCCCAATCTAGGCATACCAATGTAGCTTCCGTCGGGCAGCGTTTCTTGGCATCGGCGGCTCAAGGCCCGCCGAAGAACATTCCGGACGAAACGAAGAAGCCGCCACCAGCCGCTTCGAAATCTGCTACTCCACCCGTGCCGCCGAATGTCAGCGGAGCGACTCAAGGTTACAAGGTTAAAGAATACTTCGAGCACAGCCCGTACTCCTTCTACGACATCCACGCCGACATGTTCAAGCTGCGGCTGCCACAACCGTCGAGTAGGAAATAAAAAGTGAGCAGTACTTTTGAAAGGGCACCCGATTCATGTACAATGTTTGTGGCCGATGTAGTTTCTGCCCCAGCCTAACTAAAGAAGGAAATAACGAAGTGCGCAGAATCAAACCCGAATGTAACGTTGCTGTGTATGGTAGGCCCGTAGCCGGGGGGGGGGGGGGGGGAATGCCGAAGGACTCTCCCACTCCCCGAAATTCGAATGGCGGGCTGCTTTACCAAAAAATAAAGGGTTTTTCAAGGCCTTCAACAAGTGACACCCCCCTCACTAACCTAACCAACTTGGCAACAACTTTCGAAAGTGTCAAGTAGGTCGTCCTATCAAGTTGAATTTTTTAATTGTAATTTTTGAAGAATGTCGCGCGAGTATTGACCCCTGAACATGGTATATTCAATACATGGTGCAAGTGCATAGACATGCACCCTCTGCTTCGCTACACTGTTTGCTTAGAGATGCAGACACAGTATCCACAGTAGTTGGTGGGACCGTGGTATCGCTTATGTCGTTCCTGTTCCTTGTCTCTCATGTTACCGAATCTTGAGGTTGACGCTCGCGCTATATTGTTTAAAAACTGCAAACAAACTTGCATATTGTGCACCGCATAAATAGTGGGCAGTGAGAACAGAGGGAAAAAAAGGAACAAAAAAAGTACATCGAAATTATAATGAATAGAAAACAGAAATGTGCTGAAGCAAAAATATCACAATAGGTACTTGAACTACAAATGGCGATAATGTAAAAAAACTTCTCTTGGGTATTACCAAGTCAGAAAAATGCATCTAAATCTTACACAGTATGAAATCTAGAACTGCCCTAAGTAATGCAGAACTAAGAAAACAGTAGAATAAGATGAATGCATTTAAGACATATGAAAAAATAGTTCTGTTGCTGGTATTCCTTTCATGTTGTGTGTAAAAAGATGAGGGGTCATCCCACGGGCTTGGCAAGGGTACACATACTGTGGGAAGCAGGCGCTGCTGTCAACAGCACAACTGAATTGTGCACTGAAGCGCAGCAGGGAGGGCTTACAAGCAGAGCACAAAGTTGCTATTTTCTCGGGCACCCGCTTTTCGTACAGAGGCTCACTCTCTTCATAACTGTCTTTGCCTGCTGTTTGATGTTAAACAACAGAACACGCTATAGCCAACAAGAGCAATGTTTGGATCAGATGTGTTTGTGCCTCCACATGTTGGCACAGTGATTCTGCTAACGTTGCACGATATCACATACAGGAATATCAATGAGAGAGCATGATGGAATTCTATTACACGAGGTCAAGGTGACGAGGTGTACTGACATAACTTTTTTTATTTTCCATTGTTACCCTTCTCCGGGTAGCTCACCTCAAAGCGCCCAAAGCTTGAAAAGAACCCCTGTAACACCACTCAGGTCATTACTGAGTAATACATTCCATTAAGATATGTTATGTGAGGCCTGCTGGATAAGTAGCAAAAAAGTTGTAAATGTGGGCCGCTAATACTGAAAGTCTATGTAGAAAATCAAATGACCTAAGAGTGTCAAATGCTTTTGTCAGGTAAACGAAAATGGCCTCTACAACAGACCCTTCATCAATGAACTGTTCAATGCTACCAGCAAAATTAAACAATGCCGATTGGTCGAACAGCCATGCCTAACACTACACAAAAAGAAGGTTACATTTGTTTGGATAGTGCACGAAACAACTCTAAATAAGCTTCCCAGCAACTTTTGCTAAGAAATGCCAGAATGCAAATTTCACAGGAGGTATTATAGTTGTCAAGAGTGCCCCTTTTATTTTATTATCATCATTTTATCTAATGTGAAAGTGTTTTATGCCGGCTACACTGACGTATTTTTGTAAAATATACACTAACAGATGAAAAGAAGTAGAGAAAAAAATTCAAGCGGCCCCTCTCACTCCTGAATGCGTGGCGCGAAATGACTAGCCCACAAAGAACACATTCTCAAACGTACTAACAGAGAGCTATTTATATACATTATTTGCATTGGCGGCACTCTGTGCCCACTGGTTTCAGCGTGTTTTCGACATCATTAGCAAGAATGCGCGACAGGCTTGAAGAGCGCACTTTGGATGTTGCATCACACGATGTGCACGCATGCTTATCTCACGATAGCAGCCGTAGATAGTGCTTTCAACATAAGTTAAAAAGAGGTTGAAGCTTACTGCAGTGGCAGTACCTACTTTTCAAAAGGAGCTCACATGAAGTTGTAACCTTTATTAGTTCCATTCGTCCTGTGTATACTTGTATGTTCGTTTTGTGCGTCCTCCTTTGTGTTTGAGCCGCACGTTTTAGGTGTCGAGCTGTGACATTTGTTAGTTGTTCTTTCTGTGCATCCTCTCTCATTGAGCAGAGCGTTTGGAGCTGCTTGCCGTTCTTTGCACGACGTTACAATTCTGTTGCGATATCACTCATTCCTTCGCTCTTGTGGAGAGACAATGCACGCTCAGCTAATGCTGTGAAGGCATATTCCACTTTCGTGTTATCCTGTGACAGAGCCATGTTTTTTTTTACTCTTGGACATTCAATTTGAAAAAAAACATTTCTCTTGTCAGAGATAGTCACGAGGAAATGAGTCCACTGGTTTTGCTGAAGAAAGGTGAACGATTGAATGGCTGGTTTCTTCCGTAACCACTTTCACAGATTTTGTGGCTTTTTAATGACATGGTCACCCTAGGTCATAACTTACCACTAAGTTATTCCAACATGCTGCATACACCCTCTGTTACTGTGCATGTGTGGTATTTGAGAACATGGCTTTGGTATTTTGGGCAAAATTATGTGCTCATTCTAATCTCTTTTGCATGCTTCCATGTTCTACTACTATTTTTAGGAAGCTTTCAACCCCTGTGTGCTACTAAATAGGGCTTTATGACAGTATTGGTCCACAATAATGAAACCACAGAGTTTCTTACTCTATTTACTAGAGGGAAATCTGGCACTGCGATTGTTCATTGCACTGTGGCACAGTGCAAGAAAAATAATTTAGGTGTGCACACTCCGGCTCATGGCACGTTCAGATAATGTCTGTGCTTTTAGTCTCTCTAGACCCCCGCGGCGCAAGTACGTTGCACGCAACACTGCGTCCATATGCTGAGGAGGCAACTGGTGTTCACCACACATGGAGACTCCCAGATCGAGAACAGCCCTGTGTGCATTTGTAGCTCTAGTTGCAGTCGTGCATGGCATACTTGCCAACCTGGCAACAGAGAAATTCGTAAAACCCTCGTGTGGGGTAGAGGGTTTTTTTAATTTGTAGCTGGGATGGATTTGCCTTTAGGGATAAGCATAATAATGTTTTGCCCCCATTAGTCAGATCGACATGCTGAATTTTCCCCCATTTTCGGCATCAAAAGAAAAAAAACAAACAAACATCGCGAAAAACAAGAGGGGGGGGGGAGTTCCAAACACAAGCACAAACATCGATGTTGCGGTCTCATAATGACTTGGAGTGGTCGAACACACAACGGTAGGGTTTCCCAGTAAGGTGAGAGTCTCAAAGGGGGAGCACAAATGCTGCCGAAATTTTGCATTATCGAAACAAGCAAAAATTAGATTTCCGTCAAAATAACTCGCGTATGTCTTCACACGTGAACGGACAGGACGGCGCAGCTGGCTGTGGCAGAAGCGCGGGTCAAATCTTTGGTTTTTTTGTCTACTAGATTCTTTGGACAGGAAAGCCAAATGCTTCTAGCCTTTTTTAAGTCTTTGCTGCTTTTAATCTACCGCTGTGTCAGCCACGTGCCCTTGGAGCTCATAGATCGCTATCGCCGCGACCGTGGTTTTGTGCGCGGCGGTTGCAGCAAATGGTAGTTTTGTTTTCAATTCACGTGCTTTCAAAATTAAGTCGTTTTATGCTATCTATGATCGCAACTGCTGCGGTGTTTTTCACAGAGTTTGCGGAAAGCAGCATTGCTTTGACTGGTTGAGCGTTGGCCGCGCACACACCTTCAGAGTTCTGTCAGCAACATTGTTACCATACATGATCATGTCGAACGACTGCAATTTCGTCCACAGCAGTTGTTGCAACGACAACAACATAGTGCGTGCGACCAGCAAACGCACTGTAATAGACAGTGCGTGCACTGGTCGCACGTGTACTTCCGATGCTTCGAGCACGCTGCTCTCGATCCACCTTCAATCGACGGTTTGGTACTAAAGTTCATATCGCATATAGTGAACTAGAATATACTGTAATATTACACGCCGCGATTAGGAAAGGTGTTTGGAACATTCGAATTTTGGCCCAAAGAAAACACGAATTTGGCTGAGAAGTTATATGAATTCGTATTGGCAGCGGTTTCGCATAACTGAAGCTCTACTGTACATTTAGATGAATGCCTCTCAAATTCGTTTACAACATGTGGTGGTGCTAGCAAAAAGCCTGGAACGTACTGACCTGCATATTTGCCAATGTGGCCAGATCTCGCACACAAATTTGGATTTCGGGGAGATTTTCATGACAACATACAAACAGAAGAAACGGTCGAAATCTGGGAGTTTCCTGGACAATGTGGAAGACTTGGCAGATATGTGATAATGATAACACCAATACATATATGGTGACAGAATATAGCAGAACGCCGTTTTTGTGGCCTCCGTGACTAGCTACGGCAATGTGCCATAGCCTATTGCGGAGGCCACGCTATTTTACTAATTTTATATTTTTTTATAGGAAATGAAAGATTTTGTAAAATTTCAGGCAAGACTCATAAAATCGTAAGCGCGGCCAAAATTCGTACATTTTACGGGAAAATCGGTAGAGTTGGCAGGTATGTAGCACGGCAAAAATTGTGTGCTCATGTAGTTGCGCTCGGTCCCTTTAAGCCCCCACGTCTCAGCACCCCTCCGCTTTATACCACAAAACTGCTGCCAGTGCATGAACTAAAGCTGAGCATTATTTAGACGCACTTTATGTTTGAGGTAGGTGGAATGTGTCCACACCTAAATTGGTTTTCTAACACTCTGCACTGTGGGAATGATGGGCAATAGTACATGGAT